CCCGCTGCTTTGCCCGTCTGAGAGACGCTTGGCGTACGAAGTTTGGCGACGCGGTTGAGCTCCCTGAATGGGTGGAGCTGTTTAGGCTGCGTGTAGATATCTATACTCTTGACTATGATGCTATCCTCACTGCCATGTATGTATTACCTACTAGTGATGAGGGTGACTGTTACCTGTGTGTTCCGCCTGACCTGGGCATTGAGGCTGTTGCTCTAGGTACTGGTGAGGCTGCTGCTCTAGGTGCTAGTGCGTCTGCTGCCCAAGGTGCTGGTGAGTCTACTCTCTCAGGTACTACGTCGGCTCAGGCCTTACACACCTTCACCCTTGACTCGGGTGCTTCGCGCTCCTTCTTTCGAGACCGCACAGCGCTTACGCCGCTTAGTCGGACGGTTGCGGTCTCCCTGGCGGACCCCTCTGGGCGTCCTGTCCTTGCTAGATTCTCCACTGTCTTACCGTGCCCGGCAGCCCCCTCTGGCACCCTGTCAGGTCTCTACCTCCCCTCTTTCTCTACGAACTTGGTGAGTGGAGCTGATCTACAGGATAGGGGGGTTGACCAGTTCACTCCTGCGAGTCAGCAGGTGACCCACTGCACGTGCGCTCGGAGAGGCCGACACTTGGCCACGTTCACCCGTCGGCCGGGGTCGAGCCTATACACACTTACTACTGAGTCTCCTTCGGCTGCTGAGTTTTGTCAGGTAGCTGCGTCGAGTCAGGTGTTTGCTGTAGCGTCCAGGTCTGGTCGTGAGTCTGCTCCCTGCTCGTGTCGTCTCCTGTCCCACCAGACTCTCCTTTGGCACCACCGCCTTGGTCACCCCTCCCTGCCTCGTCTCCGAGGCATGGCCTCGCGTGTCCTTGTCTCTGGTCTCCCCCGGTCTCTCCCTCCCCTACCTCCGAGGCCAGCCCCTACCTGCGTCCCCTGCGTCGAGGGGCGACAGCGCGCCGCCCCTCACTCCTCCGAGTTTCCTCCGACAGAGGCTCCGCTGCAGACTCTTCACATGGACGTGTGGGGCCCCGCCCGCGTCCATGGCCAGGGGCACGAGCGTTTCTTCCTGTTGGTGGTTGACGACTACTCGCGTTACACCACAGTCTTCCCCTTGCGCAGCAAGGGTGACGTCATTGAGGTGTTGATCGACTGGATCCGCGCAGCTCGTCTCCAGCTCAGGGAGAGTTTCAGCTCGGACTTTCCTGTTCTGCGTCTGCACTCTGACAGAGGCGGGGAGTTTTCCTCTGCCTGTCTCGGAGCCTTCTGTCGAGCACAGGGCATCCGCCAGAACTTTACGCTTTCGGCCTCTCCACAGCAAAATGGGATTGCTGAGCGCCGCATTGGCATGGTCATGGACGTCGCTCGTACGTCCATGATGCATGCGGCTCCCCCCCATTTTCTGTGGCCGTTTGCAATTCAGTACGCAGCGCATCAGCTCAACCTTCAGCCCCGGGTCTCCTTGCCAGAGACCTCCCCCACCTTGTGGTGGACGGGGAAGGTTGACGATGCGTCTGCGTTTCGGGTCTAGGGATCTCGGGCGTTTGTCCGCGACTTGTCTGCGGACAAGCTGCCCCCCCGTGCTGTTCCCTGCGTCTTCCTTGGCTTCCCCCCTGACGCGCCTGGTTGGCAGTTATACCACCCCACCTTGCGCCGTGTTCTGTCCTCCCAGGACGCCACCTTTGACAAGTCGGTGCCTTACTACCGTCTCTTCCCCTACCGCACTGCGCCCCTTCCCCCGCCACCGCTCTTCCTTGCGCCAGGTCCTCCCCCGGTAGACTCCCCCCCCCCTCAGGGTCCTGCCCAGTCAGGTGTGTCTCAGGTAGACGCAATTGAGCCTGTCGAGGTAGTTGTTGACTCTGGAACTGCTAGAGGTGCTGAGCCTGCGGGTGCCGAGTCTGGAGATGCTGAGCCTGAGGGTGCGGAGCCTGGGGGTGCTGAGTCCAGAGGTGCGGAGCCTGGGGGTGCTGAGCCTGGGGGTGCTGAGTCTGGGGGTGCTGAGCCCGGGGGTGCTGAGCCTGGGGGTGCGGAGCCTGGGGGTGCTGGGTCTGCTCGTGTGGCCTCTCGCGGTGCTTCGTCGAGGCAGAAACCACTCTCTCGGCTGGAGCTGCGCGAGTGGTTTGCCCAGCGCTGGAGCCGTGCTGGTGGAGCTGGAGGTACTACTGCTGCTGCTGGTCCCGGAGGTGCTCGTACTGGCGGTTCTAGAGGTGCTGGGACTGGGGGTGCTCCTGGGGCTGCTTGAGGTACTGGTGGAGCTGATGGCAGTACTGGAGCTGCCGGTCCTGCTGGAGTTGGTGCTGCTGGAGCTGCTGGAGTTGGAGCTGCTGGGGGTGTTGGCGCTAGTGGTGCTCCTGGCGCTGGTACGTCTAAGGGTGCTGGAGTTGGCGCTGTTGGAGCTAGAGGTACTCCTGGCGCTGGTGCTGCCGCTGGGGGTACTGGTGCTGTCCCTGCTGGTTCTCAAGGCGCTCCGCGGCCGCGGCCGTACTTCGTTCCGCTCCTTGAGCAGGTTCTTGGTCTCCCGCCCTCTATTGGTCCTGCTCCTCCCTTAGAATGTCCACAGCTTGTCCAGTCGCGGTCACAGCTACAGCCGGCCTCCCCCCTACCTGCTCCTTCTCCCTACGCTGGTCCTACTGGAGGTCTTGCTGAGCGTCGTGAGCCTGCGTCTCGTCCTGCGTCGCCTGTTCGTGCTACTCGCACTAGTCGTCGTGCTCCGCGTCCGCGTCCTCCTGCGGTCCCAGGCACACACCAGATGGCACTGCGTCCGTCCACTGCTCCTCTGCGTGTCCCATTGCTTGTTCTTGCTGACCCGGAGTCTGACTCTCTTCGTGTTGCCAGTCCTACTGTCACGCGTATCCTGGCTACTATTCTCACTGACCCTTCCTTTGAGTCCACTGCTGCGTCGGCCCTAGTTGCTGAGCTTGTCGACTTTGCTGCTCGCTGTCGTCTAGACTACGTTGCTAGTCTTATTGCTGAGTCTGAGTCTGTCTGTTCTCCGTCCGTCCGGGGTGAGTGTGCTCTTAGCACGGACGTCCTTGAGGACAGGCAGGAGGAGTTCCAGTATTTTGCTGCTGCTTTGCCTCATCTCGTATCCACGCTGATTGCCCCCGAGGGAGACCCGGACGCATCAGACATCCCGACTCCTCGATTGTACGCTTAGGCGATTGAGGGTCCCTACTCCTCTCAGTGGCAGTCAGCCATGGACGCAGAGATGGCTTCCTGGAAGTCCACAGGCACCTACGTCGACAAGGTTCCCCCACCTGGGGCGAACATGGCTGTGGATTTTCAGTGGCATGTGGATTTTCAGGGTGAAGCGGCCGCCGGGTTCTCTGCCTGTCTTCAAGGCGCGTTACGTGGCTCGAGGCTTCAGTCAGCGGCAGGGAGTTGACTACTTTCAGACCTTCTCTCCCACCCCGAAGATGACCACTCTTCGGGTGCTGCTGCACATAGCCGCTCAGCGCGACTACGAGCTTCACTCTCTTGACTTCAGCACAGCTTTCCTGCACGGTAGCCTGCACGAGGAGATCTGGCTGCGCCGCCCACCTGGCTTCACTGGGTCGTTTCCTCCTAGTACCCAGTGGAGCCTCCGGCGGCCAGTCTACGGTCTCCGCCAGGCGCCCCGTGAGTGGCACGACACACTGAGGACTACACTTGCGGCTCTTGGGTTTGCTCCTTCTACAGCCGACCCGTCGCTGTTTCTGCGCACCAACACCTCTTTGCCGCCGTTCTACATCCTCGTGTACGTCGACGACTTGGTCTTTGCCAGTGCTGACACTGCTGGACTCGCCCACGTGAAGTCGGAGCTGCAGAAGAGACATACGTGCACAGACCTGTGTGAACTGCGTAGCTACCTTGGCTTGCAGATCACCCGGGACAGAGCACGGCGCACCATTACCCTCACTCAGTCACACATCATGCAGCAGGTCCTTCAGCGCTTCGACTTCATGTACTCCTCGCCTCAGGCCACTCCTTTGTCTACTTGCCACTCGCTCTCTGCTCTGCCTTCGGATGAGTCCGTAGAGCCAAGTGGTCCGTATCCAGAGCTTGTTGGCTGCCTCATGTACCTGATGACCTGCACACGACCTGACCTTGCATACCCTCTTAGCATCATGACACGCTATGTTGCACCTTTTTTTCTGACCGGAGCGACAGTCGCTCCTGCCCGAGGCGCGCCTTGTGGGCTGCCCTTCTGTCGACCTCTCTTAGAGGCCCCCCTCACGGCCCCTCGCGCGGCCCCTCGCGCCACCCTCAGCGGCCCCGTCGCCGCCCCTAGCGGCCCTGTAGCCGCCCTTCCAGGCCCCTAGCGGTCCCTAGCGGCCCCGTCACCGCCCCCACGCGGCCCCGTCGCCGCCCCTAGCGGCCCTGTCGCCGCCCCTAGCGGCCCCATTGCCGCCTCCATACCTACGCGGCCTCGTTGCCGCCCCTACGCGGCCCCGTAGCCGCCCCTAGCGGCCCCGTTGCCGCCCCTACGCGGCCCCGTAGCCGCTCCCCTCCCTACGCGGCCCCGTAGCCGCCCCTACGGGGCCCCGTCGCCGCCCCTAGCGGCCCCGTCGCCGCCCCTAGCGGCCCCGTCGCCGCTAACCTCCCTACGCGGCCCTGTTGTCGCCCCTACGCGGCCCCGTCGCCGCCCCTACGCGGTCCCGTTGCCGCCCCTAGCCGCCCCGTAGCCGCTCCCCTCCCTACGCGGCCCCGTCGCCGCCCCTGCGCGGCCCCGTCGGCGCCCCTACGCGGCCCCGTCGCCGCCCCTAGCGGCCCCGTCGCCGCTGACCTCCATACGCGGCCCCGTTGCCGCCCCTACGCGGCCTCGTCGCCGCCCCTACGCGGCCCCGTCGCCGCTCCTAGCAGCCCCGTCGCCGCTCCCCTCCCCACGCGGCCCCGTCGCCGCCCCTACGCGGCCTCGTAGCCGCCCCTACGCGGCCACGTCGCCGCCCCTAGCGGCCCCGTCGCCGCTCCCCTCCCTACGCTGCCCCGTTGCCGCCCCTAGCGGCCCCGTCACCGCCCCTACCCGGCCCCGTCGCCGCCCCTAGCGGGGAGCCGAGCCGCCGAGTCGCCCAGCAGCAGGAGCCGCCCCTGGAGCAGCCACCACTGCAGCAGCAGCCCCTGGAGCAGCCGCCACTGCAGCAGCCGCCCGTGGAGCAGCCGCCCCTGGAGCAGCCGCCACTGCAGCAGCCGCCCCTAGAGCAGCCGCCACTGCAGCAGCCGCCCCTGGAGCAGCCGCCATTGCAGCAGCCGCCCCTGGAGCAGCCGCCACTACAGCAGCCGCCCCGGGAGCAGCCGCCACTGCAGCAGCCGCCCGTGGAGCAGCCGCTACTCCAGCAGCCACCCATGGAGCAGTCGCCACTGCAGCAGCCGCCCCTAAAACAGCCGCCACTGCAGCAGCCGCCCCTGGAGCAGACGCCACTGCAGCAGCCGCCCGTGGAGCAGCCGCCACAGCAGAAGCCGCCCTTGGAGCAACTGCCACTGCAGCAGCCGCCCCTGGAGCAGCCACCCCTGCAGCTGCCACGGAGCTCTCGCTCTACAGTGGTAGCGGCATCACCGTTGCCGCCGTCGTACGCCTGCCCTTCTCGCCACTGGTGAGCACTGCCCTGCCCGTACTGCTGTTATTGCTGCTCTTACTACTGCTGCTCTTTCTACTGCTACTGCTGCTTCTGGCATGCCCAGATGCAGCTCCAGCGTCGCCCGCGTGAGTCCCTTACCCCCCAACAGCTTCGTGAGTGGTACGTCAGTTGGGGTTGTCGGGGTGGCCGTAGTGGGAGTCGTCCTAGAGTGAGTAGTTCCGCAGCTGCTTGTAGTGGCAGGTGGCAGCTCCAGCGTCGCCCGCGTGAGTCCCTCACCCCCCAACAGCTTGATGAGGGGTACACCAGTTGGGGTTGTCGGGGTGGCAGTAGTGGGAGTCGTCCTGGAGTGGGTGGTTCGGGAGTTTCTTGTAGTGGTCTGGTGCAGCAGCAGCGTTGTCCGCGCGAGACTCTTTCACCCCAGCAGCTTCGTGAGTGGTACGCTCAGAGTGGAGAGTCGCTGAGTACTGCTCGCTGCCCGTACGTTATTAGCACGGGTGTCCCGACTGGTCAGACTTGCGGGACGCGTGGTCACACGGAGTCCTGCTGCTTCGCGCATCTGAGCGACACTTGGCGTACAGAGTTTGGCGACGACGCTGAGCTCCCCGACTGGGTGGAGATGCTTAGGCAGAGGGTAGATATCTTTGCTCTTGACTATGATGCTATTCTCACTGCAATGTATGCATTGTCTACTAGTGCCGAGGGAGTCTGTCACCTGTGTGTGCCGCCTGACCCCGGTATCCAGTCTGCTGCTCTAGGTGCTGGTGAGACTTCTGCTCTAGGTGCTAGTGCGTCTGCTGCCCCTGGTGCTGGTGAGTTTGCTCTCTCAGGTACCACGTTGGCTCAGGCCTTACACACCTTCACCCTTGACTCGGGTGCTTACCGCTCCTTCTTTCAAGACCGCACCACTCTTAAGCCGCTTAGTCGGCCGGTTGCGGTCTCCCTAGCGGACCCCTCTAGGGGTCCTGTCCTTGCTAGCTTCTCCACTGTCTTACCGTGCCCGGCAGCCCCCTCTGGCACCCTGTCAGGTCTCTACCTCCCCTCGTTCTCAACGAACTTGGTGAGTGGAGCTGATCTACAGGATAGGGGGGTTGACCAGTTCACTCCTGCGAGTCAGCGGGTGACCCACTGCACGTGTGCTCGGACATGCCGACACTTGGCCACGTTCACCCGTCGGCCGGGGTCGAGCCTGTACACACTTACTACTGAGTCTCCTCCGACTGCTGAGTCTGGTCAGGTAGCTGCGTCGAGTCAGGTGTTTGCTGCAGCGTCCAGGTCTGGTCGTGAGTCTGCTCCCTGCTCGTGTCGTCTCCTGTCCCACCAGACTCTCCTTTGGCACCACCGCCTTGGTCACCCCTCCCTGCCTCGTCTCCGAGGCATGGCCTCGCGTGTCCTTGTCTCTAGTCTCCCCCGGTCTCTCCCTCCCCTACCTCCGGGGCCTGCCCCTATCTGCGTCCCCTGCGTCGAGGGGCGAGAGCGCGCCGCCCCTCACTCCTCCGAGTTTCCTCCGACAGAGGCTCCGCTGCAGACTCTTCACATGGACGTGTAGGGCCCCGCCCGCGTCCGTGGACAGGGGCACGAGCGTTACTTCCTGTTGGTGGTTGACGCCTACTCGCGTTACACCACAGTCTTCCCCTTGCGCAACAAGGGTGACGTCATTGAGGTGTTGATCGACTGGATCCGCGCAGCTCGTCTCCAGCTCAGGGAGAGTTTCAGCTCGGACTTTCCTGTTCTGCGTCTGCACTCTGACAGAGGCGGGGAGTTTTCCTCTGCCCGTCTGGGAGCCTTCTGTCGTGCACAGGGCATCCGTCAGACCTTCACGCTTCCGGCCTCTCCACAGCAAAATGGGATTGCTGAGCGCCGCATTGGCATGGTCATGGACGTCGCTCGTACGTCCATGATGCATGCGGCTGCCCCCCATTTTCTGTGGCCGTTTGTGGTTCAGTACGCAGCGCATCAGCTCAACCTTCAGCCCCGGGTCTCCTTGCCAGAGACCTCCCCCACCTTGCAGTGGACGGGGAAGGTTGGCGATGCGTCTGCGTTTCGGGTCTGGGGATCTCGTGCGTTTGTCCGCGACTTGTCTGCGGACAAGCTGTCCCCCCGTGCTGTTCCCTGCGTCTTCCTTGGCTTCCCCCCTGACGCGCCTGGGTGGCAGTTTTACCACCCCACCTCGCGCCGCGTTCTGCCCTCCCAGGACATCACCTTTGACGAGTCGGTGCCTTACTACCGTCTCTTGCCCTACCGCACTGCGCCCCTCCCCCCGCCGCCGCTCTTCCTTGCGCCAGGTCCTCCCCCGGTAGACCCCCTCCCCCCTCAGGGTCCTGCTCCGTCAAGTGTGTCCCAGGTAGATGCAATCGAGCCTGTTGAGGTAGCTGTTGACCCTGGTGCTGCTCGAGGTGCTGTGCCTGCGGGTGCCAGGTCTGGGGGTGCAAAGCCTAGGGGTGCTGAGTCCAGGGGTGCGGAGCCTGGGGGTGCTGAGTCTGGGGGTGCTGAGCCTTGGGGTGCTGAGTCTGGGGGTGCTGAGCCTGGGGGTTCTGAGCCTGGGGGTGCGGAGCCTGGGGGTGCTGGGTCTGCTCGTGTGACCTCTCGCGGTGCTTCGTCGAGGCGGGAGCCGCTCTCTCCGCAGGAGCTGCGCAAGAGGTTTGCTCGGCGCTGGAGCCGTGCTTCTAGAGCTGGAGGTACTACTGTTGCTGCTGGTCTCGGAGGTGCTCGTACTGGCGGTACTGGAGCTGCTGGGGCTGGGGGTGCTGCAGGAGGTACTGCTGGAGCTGCTGGTGGTACTGGAGCTGCCGGTCCTACTAGAGTTGGTGCTGCTGGAGCTGCTGGAGTTACTGGAGCAAGAGCTGCTGGGGGTGCTGGCGCTGGTGGTTCTGCTGGCGGTGGTGCGTCTGAGGGTGCTGGAGTTGGCGGTGCTGGCGCTGGCGGTGCTGCAGATACTGGTGCTGCCGCTGGGGGTACTGGTGCTGTCCTTGTTGGTTATGGAGGCATTGCGCGGCCGCAGCTGTACTTCGTTCCGCTACTTGAGCAGGTTGTTGGTCTCCCGCCCTCTGCTGGTCCTGCTCCTCCCTTAGAGTGTCCAGAGCCTGTCCAGTCGCAGTCACAGTTATAGCCCGCCTCCCCTCTGCCCGCTCCTTCTCCCTACACTGGTCCTACTGGAGGTCTTGCTGAGCGTTGTGAGCCTGCGTCTCGTCCTGCGTCGCCTGTTCGTGCTACTTGCACTCGTGGTCGTGCTCCGCGTCCGCGTCCTCCTGCGGTCCCATGCACACACTAGATGGCACTGCGTCCGTCCACTGCTCCTCTGCGTGTTCCGTTGCCGTCTCCTCCAGAGTCTTCTCTTCCTGTCCTTGCTGATCCGGAGTCTGACTCACTCTGTGCTGCCAGTCCTACTATCACGCGTCTCCTGGCTACTGTTGTCACCGACCCTTTCTTTGAGTCCACTGCTGCGTCTGCATTAGTTGCTAAGCTTGTCGACTTTGCTGCTAGCAGTCGTCTAGAATACGCTGCTAGTCTCGTTGCTGAGTCTGCGTCTGTCTGTCCTCCGTCCGTCGGGGGTGAGTGTGCTCTTAGCACGGACGTCCTTGAGGAAAGGCAGGAGGAGTTCCAGTGTTTTGCTGCTGCTTTGCCTCATCTCGTGTCCACGCTGATTGCCCCTGAGGGAGACCCGGATGCACCAGACATCCCGACTCCTCGATCGTACACTGAGGCGATCGAGGGTCCCTACTCCTCTTAGTGTTAGTCAGCCATGGACGCAGAGATTGCTTCCTGGAAGTCCACAGGCACCTACGTCGACGAGGTTCCCCCACCTGGGGCGAACATCGTCAGTGGCATGTGGATTTTCAGGGTGAAGCGGCCGCCGGGCTCTCCGCCTGTTTTCAAGGCGCGTTACGTGGCTCGAGGCTTCAGTCAGCGGCAGGGAGTTGACTACTTTCAGACCTTCTCTCCCACCCCAAAGATGACCACTCTTCGGGTGCTGCTGCACATAGCCGCTCAGCGCGGCTACGAGCTTCACTCTCTTGACCTCAGCACTTCTTTCCTACAGGGCAGCTAGCACGAGGAGATCTGGTTGCGCCGCCCTCCTGGCTTCACTGGGTCGTTTCCTCCTGGTTCCAAGTGGAGCCTCCGGCGGCCAGTCTACGGTCTCCGCCAGGCGCCCCGTGAGTGGCACGACACACTGAGGACTACACTTGCGGCTCTTGGGTTTGCTCCTTCTACTGCTGACCCGTCACTGTTTCTACGCACCGACACCTCTTTGCCGCCGTTCTACATCCTCGTGTACGTCGACGACTTGGTTTTTGCTACTGCTGACACTGCTGGACTCGCCCACGTGAAGTCGGAGCTGCACAAGAGACATACGTGCACAGACCTGGGTGAACTGCACAGCTACATTGGCTTGCAGATCACCCGGGACATAGCACACCGCACCATTACCCTTACTCAGTCACACATGGTGGAGCAGGTCCTTCAGCGCTTCGACTTCACGTACTCTTCGCCTTAGGCCACTCCTCTGTCTACTCGCCACTCGCTCTCAGCTCTGCCTTCGGATGAGTCCCTAGAGCCGAGTGGCCCGTACCCAGAGCTTGTTGGCTGCCTCATGTACCTGATGACCTGCACACGACCTGACCTTGCATACCCTCTTAGCATCTTGGCACGCTATGTTGCTCCTGGGAGACACCGACCAGAGCACATGGCTACAGCGAAGAGGGTGTTGCGCTACTTGTGCAGTACGTCGGGCATGGGGCTAGTGCTTGGAGGGCGACGTCGAGTGGTCCTCACAGGTCACGCAGACGCTTCTTTGGCTGACGACCAGGCTACGCAGTGGTCGTAACAGGGTTACACCTTCAGCCTTGGCGGTCTACCCGATCATCTTCTGTTCTCGGCTCCAGCTGTGAGGCCGAGATCTACGCGGGGGCCATGGCTGCACAGGAGTTACGCTGGCTCACCTACCTGCTGGCTGACCTAGGAGAGGCGCCTCGTTCTCCCCCAGTTCTATACGTAGACAACAAGGCCATGCTGGCCTTGTGTCGGGAGCACAGACTGGAGCACAGAACAAAGCACATTGCTCTTCGCTAGTTCCTTACTTACGTGGCCTCTGAGGCCAAC